TTTTTTTTCATTTTGATGTTTAATAACTACCGTATATATATATATATATATATATATATATATATATATATATATATATATTCAGCGGAGTTCTGGCCTGGGGGTTTGCTGTCTAACCTTACAAATAAAATTAGGCCAAATCAGTCAAAAAAAATTTTTTTTCATGTCAGGGTAGGATTTATTAATCAGTTTTTATTACCTTATGAATGAACACTAAATAGGCTAACTCACCTTATGTATGAAGTGTATGAAGTCAGAAATAAAACAAAAATTTGACCACCCTTGTTTTCTTCATGTTTTGTTCTAATGGAATATTACCTGAAGAAAAAAAGAAATAAAAAAAATGGTAGGCCTAATGTGCTTTTTTTCGTGATTGTATAATCAATCATCTCATTCTTTTCTTTTTTGTAATCCTGTTTATGTATTTGTTTATTTATTTGTTTATTTATGCTACTTGAAGATATCTGCTTTTTTTTTTGTATGATCTGCTTGGTGCCATAGTTGTAAACAGGTATTTCCACATAAACAGACCTGAACCGACGTTACAATGAAGCGGCGTTATTTGACAGGGCCTCATATTCATGACAGGTTGGAACCCATGTGAGAAAGATTCCTTTTCTTTTCCATGAACCGCATTTATTAATCACATCAGCAGGAACACGGTAAAGAAACTTTGATGTATTCATTAGTTTAACTCTCCAAATGTTGAGGTGAAGATCAGATAGCAGGAGCCCTTCTTGGCCTTTTAAAAAGCTTCAGTTGCTTTTGAAAAGAGATTCCTCGTTGTCAGCCTGAGGCGATGTCATTAAGGGGGGAGGAATTACCTCATCTAACTTTTTTTTCTAACTCCCTTTTTCTTGTTTTCTTTCAAAGCTTAAGCCCTTATTTTTGCCTTTAGATAAATCGAGACCCGTTAAAAAACACCATAAACATTGTTAGAATTGCTTCAAGTCAGTTAGGCCGAAACTAATTCTACATAGTTTAGAAATAATTTTACCTGAGTATTTTACTTTGTTTATTTAATAAGGAATTTATTGAATTTACACGAAAACGATGATAAAACATCAGCTCTGGTGCCACTCAGGTGAAGCTATACTCCGGCGCATGCGCACTGCGCAATAATCAGGTGAGGTAAAACTCCCATGGATTCAGTCAGTCGCAGCCTCTCGAAGGGATTACCGCGACTAGAACCTTGCAGATGTCCGTGTTGGATAGAATAGACTGGAGGGTGAGTTGATTAGTTTTTTTCTAAATGTTTATTGCATTATTTTTTGCTCAGGTTTTATTCTTTATATTTAAAATTTCACCCCACAGTCACTTGTTAGTTGTCCTGCTGCTCTGTTTAGACGCAGAAACAACTGAGCTCTAATCACTCAAATTCATGTAGTAATATGGCTTTTCAAGTGATTTATTTGATCTAATTTTTATTATTCAAAAATATAAAACAAAATCCAAATAGTGCTGAAACTACCTTTACAATACTTCCAAGACCCATGTAAAATGTGGCTATTTACTTGTATTATATAGCCTGTATGATATTTAGTTCTGATGTTTGTGCGAAAGGATTGTACTGTCCTTTTATTTTTCATAAATCAAAAATTATAATCGGCCTTGAACCATTTAACCTGGCAGGCTGACTGAATTGATGACAAATATTTACCGATTCAGTTCCTCTTTACACCTGGCATCAAATGCGTAGCTATTACTGCCAGCATGACAAGCTGTACTTTTCAGATTGTTCAAAGCATTATACAGTCAGATCAAGCGTGACTAAATACCCTTAACATGCCTGCTATTAAGAGGATCATATTCAATCACGCCGCATTTCACTGCTTCGCATCACAACAAGCCAAGAAGCAGCACGCAAAAAAAACAAAAAACAAAAAAAAAAAAAACAAAAGAGAGAGATTAATCCTCACTGTCCACGTTCCCAGAGAATCACAGCTTGCGTGGGGAGACATAAACTGATTCCTTAAAGGACAAAACGTTGGCCATTTTAGGCTTACATTTCGAATGACATCAAATAACATATAGGTCTAATGTTTTCTCTGGCTTAAATTAACACTAAACTAACACATGAGGTTGTCAAAAATAAAAATACAATAGCTTATTTGCAATGCATACTACTGAGTCATTAAAAAGGCAATCTTCTCTAAAATGCAAATGAAGTTACAAAAGAGTTGTTTGTTGAGATTCTTTAGGGTTCAAAGGTGTTTTGTTCCTTTAGAGAGAGCGGGAGAGACAACTAAAGCTTAAGGTTTATTTGAAAGCATATTATTTATTTGAAGCATAGTATGGACCAATAAAAAAAAAAAAAGAAAGAAAAAATGAAAATTTAACTGACCTGTTTATAGACTTTCCATAATACGCTCAAATTGCATGGACTTCAGAAAGAAAGGGGAAAAATACTGTAGCCTATTTTCTGCTTTGAATATTTCGGTATGTATTACCTGTAAAAGAGAAGCAAAATGTATACCAGCTCCAATCTTATTTGAAGCTGAGAGACGATATATATATATATATATATATATATATATATATATATATATATATATATATATATATATATATATATA